CTTCTATAATTGTTATAAGCTGAGGGTCTTTCTTTTGCGCCAATCAAATCTGTTGGATTAATTGGGGTTCCGCCTTAATATTAGCAATCATACTTACCATACCATTAATGGACGGAGTTGGATGCCAATCCACTATTTCCTCTAACAATCGCATTTCTTGGATCATTAGATGAGCTAAGACTCCCGTAGATTTTCTACTTAGAGCGTCAGCCACAACGTTAGCCTTTCCTGAATGATAATGGATTGTACAATCATAATCTTTTAAGAAATCCATCCATCTTATCTGCCGCATATTTAAATCCTTCTGAGAGAAAAGGTATTTCAAACTCTTATGATCCGTATATATTACGAATTGCTCACCATATAAATAATGCCTCCATATTTTCAAAGCGAATACTATTGCAGCTAGCTCCAAATCATGAATTGGATATTTTTTCTCATATTCTTTCAACTGTCTGGATGCATATGCCACTACTTTCCCATATTGCATTAATACACAGCCCAAATCACTATAAATCACAAATCCCCCACTCCCCTCAGGAATAGTTAAAATAGGTGCTGAAGTTAATCGAACTTTTAGTTCTTGAAAACTCTCCTCACATTCACTTGTCCACTCAAATTTGACATTTTTCTGTGTCAATCGAGTCAATAGGATTGCGATTCCAAAAAATCCTTCTACAAATTTTCTGTAATATCCTGCCAATCCCAAAAAGCTTCGAACTTCAGTCACATTACTTGGTTGTTTCCAATTAACAACGGCTTCAACCTTTGAAGGATCAACTGATAGATCTTCTTTTGATATGACATGTCCTAAAAATGTCACTTGTTCAAGCCAAAATTCACATTTACTAAGTTTGGCATACAATTTATTTTCTCTTAATATTTGCAATACCATTCTTACATGCTACTCATGTTCCTTCTGATTCTTGGAATAAATTAAAATATCATCGATGAATACCACAATAAATTTATCCAAAAAGGGCCTAAAGATTCGATTCATCAAATCCATAAATGCAGCCGGTGCATTAGTTAATCCAAAAGGCATAACTAAAAATTCATAATGGCCATACCTTGTTCTGAAAGCTGTCTTGAGTATATCTTCACCTTTAATCTTAAGCTGATGGTATCCAGATCTAAGATCAATTTTTGAAAACACTTGTGATTCTTGTAATTGATCAAATAAATCATCAATTCTAGGTAATGGATACTTATTTTTCACTGTCGTTTGGTTCAACTGTCTATAATCAATACACAATCTCATAGTCCCATCTCTCTTTTTGACAAACAGTACTGGAGCACCCCAAGGTGACACACTGGGCCTGATAAAACCTTTATCTAATAATTCTTCCAATTGTTGTTTCAGTTCTGTAAGTTCTGCAGCAGCCATTCTGTAAGCTGCCTTAGAAATTGGTGCTACCCTTGGCAATAATTCAATGGAGAATTCAATTTCCCTGTCAGGCGGTAATCCTAGCAATTCTTCAAGAAAAACGTCGGGAAATTCTCGGATAACCGGAGTGGTATCCAAATTTATTTCTTCCTTCCTATCTTCTTTGATATAGGCAAGAAAGCCTTGACACCCTTTTTGAAGGAGGCGATTAGCTCGAATACAAGAGATTAAATATGATGGGGAGTCTTCTTTGACACCATTGAAGTAAAATACTGGTTGATTCGGAATACTAAAGGTAACAATTTTCTTATAACAATCAATACGTGCATGGTATGCAGAAAGACAATCCATACCTAAGATTACATCAAAATCTAGAATTTCCAGGAGTATTAAATCAACCAACAGTTCCTTTTCTTCTATCTTTATTACACATGATTTGTACACTATATTGGTGTTAATTGAATCTCCCATCGGTGTGGCTACCTCTAGAATGTATTCTAATTGTTCTGGTTCTACCTTTAAGTGGCATGCAAAGTGTTGTGACACAAATGAATGAGTAGATCCAGGATCAATCAGAACATGAGCTACTTTTTGGAAGATAGTAAGAATACCTTGGATCACTGATTTTGAGGCCTGAGCGTCTTGCTCGGTAATCGCAAATACTCTTCCCTTCATCTGAGGCTTTGGAGCCATCTCTCTCTGCTTTGGAAGCTGTTGTGTCTGTAAGCTAGGACATTGTTTAATCTGGTGTCCCAATTTTCCACATTTAAAACAGGCTCCGGTATTCCAATAACAAGGGCTTGATCCATGAT